GTTATTCCTTCTGTACTTTGAAAGGTTCAGAGTAAGCCCTAATCTGGTTCAGGCCAAATTACAGAGGTTAAGGAATTTAAATCGCTGCCTTGAGTCAGCAAGTTTTGACTAAATGGGAGCTTTCTTACACACGTCTCTGCCAGCTGCATTGTGGCGGCAGCTCACCTCCAGCTCCGAGATGTTGGTGAGGACCTCAGGGCAGCAGGAGATTGTTTAAACTTGACCATGTGCAAGGAGCACACCCAGGGAACGGGAGAGCTCACCAGCCTTTGGAAAGGCTGGAACACGACTTGGTGGATCACTTCAAAAAGCAGGTTCTCCCGTGAAGGTGGATCATTTGCAATTAGGCAGGACTGGATATGCCACTTGTAGGTCACCAGGTGAGGAGCTCTACGGAGCCTTCCACCTGTTGGTCACCAGTTGAATTGAACCCAGCACCAAAATTACAGACAAGCATTTTAATTACGTGTTTGCTTCACGTTGGGCTGAGCGCTTTTCAGGAATTGCTTCTCATGTGGGTGTCTATCACCTGGCACAATCAGGCCTCATCTCAGTTGGCTTCCTTAATCAACGTTTCCAGACAAGGAGTCCATAGGAATTTGGGGTTGAACATAAATTGTTTATGTCAGCAAAAACCATATTCACCTTATCATCAGCACTAATTTAACCCAAGCTAAAGATCCACATTTTCTGCTATCGTACGCAGAGTGAAAAGTCAAGGAGAATAAAAAAACCTCAAAAACTCAAAATTTGTAGTGTTTTTTTTTCTTTTAATTTGCCTCAAAAATACTTTTACTGGGGAGCAAAAAGGGAGACAATTTATGTTACATTTTCTGAAAGCGGGTTTCACGAAGCTTTCTCAGCTTGACAGTAATACCGATTCCTCCCAAACAACTCAGCCTGAAACAGACAACTCATAATGTTAAACGTAGGTATAGTTACAGTTGACTGAAAAAAGGGGCTTAGAATGGAAATTGTTATGCAACTGCTACTTTATGAATTGCTGCCAGATCTGAAGATAATACTAAAAGCAGCCATTTTCTTCTGATTGATTTGGAACTCTCTTATCCTTCTGCGGAATGACAACAGTCACCTCTAAATGATAGTATTGCTTGGAGTTTTCTGATTTCTTTTTGCATAGAGCAAAAGAAATAAATATATTCTGTTCAAAGGCACAAAATCTTTGCAATTCACAGCATTTGGTGAAGCTGGAAGTGATCAAATACATACTAGTTTAATAATTTCCAATACGCACATATATTCCAACAGGGAATAAGCTATGTTTTACTTTGGTGAAAGCAGAGTCCCAGCAGACTTAATGCTCTACTGTTTTCTCATCAAAATCTCTTATCAATTGGGTCACTGCGCTGAAATCACAGCTATGTTTTAAGTAGCTTGTGTTAACTTTATGAATGCATCATAAAATGGGAACTCCATAACTTTGTATTGACACTGTTTTACTGTTGCAATTTACCATTGTAATGGCACTATTTAGGAAACAATGAATGAACTGCAATGAGATAATTAAGGGATAATCTCCATTACTTCGAAGTATACAAAGCAATAAACAGCTGCCAAAACTGATTAATAGCTGAAGTGAAGTTAAGACATTTAATCAATCTAATAAACCATTTATTACAAGAATACAGCGGCTTACACTAACTGCAAGACATTTATCTTATTGATACAAACTGCAGTATTTTCCTTTCTTTAGGATGTAATATCATGAGACCTTGATTGTTCTTCCATTAAAGTCAAGGATAAAACTCCCATTGTGGGCCCAGGGTCAAGCCTTCACTGAGCTGATATCAATAAAAAGAAATGCTTCCTTTTAATGCAGAGCAGTTCTGCTAAAAAACGTATTTTTTTTTTCCCTCCTATTATAAAACATCCTATGGCATTGAAAAGGGGACACGTTTTAGTGGCAAGGACAAATGTCAGGAGTCATGATGAAAATCTGGATCTCCCACTAGCTTGTACTGCAATTTCCTGCAAAGTATTGTTTCGTCTGTGCCTCCACCTCCTCTCTGTAACATGGAAATGCAACCATTCACTTGCTCCACGGGATTATTTAGGATTTAGTTCATGTGGCATATAAAAAAATACAGAGAGAAGACAGTGTGCACGCTTCAGAGCAGCTCTAGAGTAAAAGCATAATCCTATATTACAGCCCTGCTGCCAGTACAAGTCCAGCCGAGCTTCTTCAACTTCCATTCCACTTCCCACTGCTCTGCCCATGGGCTTTCTCCAGCTCCTTGTGTGCTGTTGGTATCTGGCTTTTCTGCTCTCCACCTTCGGCTGGAGGGCTGAGGGAGGCTGCATGACAGTAGCAAAGAGACAAACGTGGGGAAAGATATCCCCTCCTGGCACGTTCTCCTACCCTGCTTCCACCTTATGTATCACCATAAAAAGCAGTTCCCCCTCTAAACTGAAGCAAGCACCAAATTCCTTAATAAAATTAATAAACAGCCAGTTGTTCGGCCGGAGTTTTACCACGCAAGTTGCAAAAAAAATCTTGCTAACATTTAAAACATCCGTAGCACGGTGGCTTGAGGTGAATATTGTATTTGTCAAGCCTTGCAAAACGTGCTTTTCATCAGACAAGACGGTTCTATCTCCTCATCCCTGCATAGAAAAGAGGTATTACAGCACATGTGCTCCTACCACACATTAAAATTGCCTCTTCCCTGCAAAGCAGTGGGAGATGTTTTTAGTGCTGGACGACTCTCAAACTTGCTCCGAAGCAACCCCCTTTGTCTTAATGCTAGTAGGAAGCTACTTTGGTTTTATCCAAATAGAAATGTTGATACAGAAACTCATACCCAATAATAACAGAGGTTTGAATTTATTGTTTCAGCAAAAGCTCCTATGCAAATTAACCCTCAGCTAATTAAAAATGCCTCCAGTGCCTGGGCGGGTAAAAAGATCAAGCACTTGTTGGATTACAACATAGCGAGTGCTGCGATAAAGCTTCATAATAGCTTAGGAGCAGCAGCTCTCAACCTTCAGAGGTAGCAGGACTAATTCCACCAGCCAACGTGTACTAACTGCTATTCATCTGCGCCCCATCTAACCTGCAAGGGACTGTTGGCAACTGCAAGGACTCTCTTGTCTTGGGAAGCCCAAGCTGAACAGCAGGTTGAAACTTGCTCAGTTGGATGCAGCGCAAGCAGTGGCACCGCACTCCTTCCCTCTGCAAGCGTTTGTCATGGGAGCAGGACAGGCAAACCTAAAATTCAAGTCCCAGAAACCTGCAATACTGGTCTCTCTGCATGTACTGCTGCTTAGGGAGTGCTAGCTTTGAGAGAGAAAACACAGCTAGATTTTGAACGACTCCTTCCTGCCTTAAACAAATGCAGCGATTTCGAAGACTCACAACAAAACGTTTGAATGTGTTGACTCTGGGAATACACTCACTGAGAGGGAAACGAGGCCCCAGAGCTTTTAAGTCATTTTTCCCAGAAAATAGATGTGGCACTAGCACTGAGTAGAAATTCCTCGAGGCTGGGCCCACGGTCTCCCTTTACGGTAAAGCACCGCAGCAAGAACAGCTGCTTGCTGTTGCTGGAATTAAACACTCTGGTCATTTCTGCAAGCTAGCTTGGCAGTTAAAACGCTGTATTTTCGATAATGCTAAGTAAAATTGTTCAGAGCTACTTAGATATTTTTATATGTGTATATAAAAAGACACACACTGTGCCTTTCTTTTTTAGGAACACAAAAAAAAAAAAGATAGTTGTAACTAATATTACTAAAATTCACATTCCTTGGGTCCATGCCAGTTACAGAAGGATTCTCCCCAATTAGCTAATGGAATTTAAATTGATCTCTGTCCCTTTTGCAGCAAGGTTGCAACAGAGGCTCGTATATACATCAGAAATACGTTTTTTATTATTTTTTCAGGAGAGAAAGGAGGTTGCGATTTCTTATTTACTTTAAATACACCGACACGCTTTCTCAAAGGTTTTTCCGTGCAACTTTACACTCTGACAGCCCTGCAAAGGAGCCGTTATTCCAGGTGGCCCCCCCCCAGGCCCCGACCTTCCCCACCATCCCCCTGAGGCCCTAACAGCAGGGCCCTGCGGAGGGCAGGAGGAACAGGGCAGACCCATCTCCTGTCAAACCCTCCCAGCCACCAGCAAACAGCAGCACTGGGAATTCCTGGAGAGCCAGACATGCACTTTAAGATACTCTAGGAAAGAAAAAAAAAAAAAAAAGAGAGAGAGGTTTTTTCTCTCCGAGAAGCTGCCAAGATAGCCCTCGGTACCTTCTAGATACACACTCGCCTCTGAAAAAGAAACACTTCACAGCCACCTGCGAAAATATTCCACTGCCCACATCACAATTTATTCCCATTCCCGAAGGAAATCGGCCCCTGCTTAGCCCAACCGGCGTGAAATACCCCCGAGGAGAATAAACGGCGCCCAAATCCCCACTCCCGCCTCCCGGAGGCCTCAGGGCTCCAAAGGGGCCCCTCAGGCGAGGCCGGATCCCCTCAGGCGAGACCCCGCCCCTCAGGCGAGACCCCTCCCCTCAGAGGAGGCCCCGCCCCTCAGAGGAGGCCCCGCCCCCTCATTTGAGTGACAAGCCCTTTGTACGCAATAACAATCCCCCTCTCCGCAGCCCCGCCCCTCCCGGCCGTAGCCCCGCCCCCCGGTCGTGGTCCCGCCCCTGCCCGCCCTAACCCCGCCCCCTTGTTTACCGCGCGGCGGGCGGCGGGGGC